TTTTGTGTATATTCTATAGCTGTTTTCTTTGTGGTTACCATGGGGATTATATTTAATATCCTAAAGTTGTTAACACTCAAATTTGAATCTATACCACCTTAACTTTAATAACTCTGCTCCCTTACAGTTCTATCTTCATCCGTTTGGTTGCTGATGTCACAAACTTAGGTCTCCATACACTGTGTGCCCTAAAATATAAACTAAAAATTCTTTTAAATGTATTAGTCTCTTAAATCATGTAGAAAACGAGTACAGTTACAAACCAGTGATACATTTTTACTAGCTTTTAAAATTGCCCATATTATACCTTTATTGAGATTTTTACTCTGTCATAGAACTTTAAGTTACTGTCTGATTTCCTTTCATTTCACTGTGCAGGACTCCCCTGAGCATTTCTGGCAGGGCAGGTCTCATAGAACAAACTCCTTCACTTTTGTTCATCGGGGAATGTCTTTTTTATTTTTTATTTTTTTGGTTCATAGAAGCTTTATTCATAATAGCCAAAAACTGGAAATAATCAAAATGCCCTACAATGGGTGGATAGCTGCAGAAACTGTGGTACATAAATACCAGGAAATACAATTCCTTAATAAAAAGGAACTGCTACATACAACAACTTGGATGGATCTCAAGGAAGTTATGCTGAGTTGGGGGGAATCCCCAAAAGTCATTACCTATATGATTCCATTTAAAATGATAAAATTATAGAGCTGAAGAAGAGATTAGTGATTGCCAGGGCTTAGGGATTGGAGGGGAGGGGTGTCCATAGAAGGCTAAATGTTAATTATAAAAGGACAGCATGATGGAGAACTTTCTGGTGATGAAATAGTTCTGTATCTTAACTATAGTGGTGGTTACACATGATAAAATGGTACAGTATTACACCCAGCCATCAGGGAATGTCTTATCTTCTCCCTCACTTTTAAAGGACAGTTTTGCCAGATACAGAATTCTTGGTTAACAGTTTTTTTCTCTGAGCACTTTGACTATATCAGCCCACTGTCTTCTGACCACCAAAGTTTGTAATGAGAAATCTGCTGATAATCTTATTGAAGATCCTCTGTATGTAATGATTTGCTTCTCTCTTGCAGCTTTTAAAATACTCTGGCTTTGGCTTTTGATTATCCTGTGATATTTGATTATAATAATGTTTCAGTGTGGGGCTCTTTGATTTCCTCTTACTTGGAGTTCCCTGAGCTTCTTGGATGTTTATATTCATGTCTTTCATCCAATTTTGGAACTTTCATTTATTATTCTTCAAATCTTCTCTCTGCCCCCTTTTCTCTTCTCCTTCTGGGACTCCTATGATGCATATATTAGTCTTCTTATGATGTCCCACTAATTCCTTAGGGTCTGTTCACTATTTTCAATCTTTTTCTTTCTGTTCTTCAGCCTTGATAGTTTCCATTGTCCTATCTTCAAGATCACTGATCCTTTCTTCTCCCTGCTCAGATCAGCCTTTGAATCCCTTTAGTGAATTTTTCATTTTTCTATTCCATTGTGTATTGTCTTTGTTTATATGAATCTTGTGGCCTGTCTCTGTGTTGAGAATCATCCTGCAGTGTAAACTTAGGTCTTTTCTGAGACTTTCCTTGGGCATGCATGGTCACTAATTCTTCCCATATGTTGTTGTTTTTGCATGTCCTTGGTCTTTAAGGTCTGGCTCTCCCAGGGGGAAAAAGCAAAAAATGAAGGGAGGAAAAAGCACTGGCCCTTTAAATCCCCTGGAAGACAAGTGGGGGTGAGGAGAGGAGGTGGCTTGCAACAGTGAGGGGAGATGAAACAATGGCCACCTGCCTATTTGTCTGTACCCCTGTGGTCAGAAGCACCAATCAGGGATCAGATCTCCAACATTTGGAGGACAAGGTCCTTTTTTGCCCACCCTAGTTCCAACAGGCTGTGTGCTAGTTGCTCCAGAAAATCTGAACAGCTGCCTGCCACGTGGCTGGGAGTGATGGCTGGGTAAGTGTTACTATGCTTAGAGCTAAAATGGGTGGAAATTAACCACAATTACTGTCCAAGCCTTCCCCCTGGAAATTGCAAGCTTTCAATAGACTCCAGAGTTCTAAAATGGCTGTATCAGACAGGTTCTGCCAGTGCAATCATTATCTAGTGGGGGAGACAGATGCATGGTGCTCCTACTCTGCCATCTTTCTCTGTGTCAAAATTTTTAATTTTTGTTCTTTTTGCTGCTATTTCTGCAGGAATATGGTAACTCTTTCTCTTTTGCTTGGTCTTTTGAATGATCTTTATTCCTATTTGGTGGTGTTTGCCTTTTTTTTTAAATACCAGTCTAGTAAGCTTTCTGGCTATATGTCCCCAGGTATTTATGAAGGGATCATCTTGTTACCTTTCAAAAACTTGTTATAACTTCTGCAATTCAGCCCAACAGCTCTAAGAAAATTTCATACATATAAATGTACAAAAGTAGAGAGAATAGTATCATGAGTCCCCAGGTCCCATCACCAGCTTCAGCAGTGATCAACTCATAGCCAATCTCCTTTTACCTAGACCCCACCAAATTCTCCATCTTCCATGTTATTTCAAAGCAAATTCCAGGCATGTATCATTTCATCTGTAAATATGCCAGTCGATATCTCTAAAAAGATATGGATTCTTTAACATAATCACAATACCATCATCACATTTAGAAAAACCAGTAATCCTTAATATTAAATATCCATAATCCATAAGTGATTGGAGTTTTTAAACTTAGTTTGAATTAGAATCCAAATTAGATCATGCTCTGCAATTGGTTGTGTTGTTAAATCCTTTTTGCTCTATAGGTTTCCTCTCCATCTTGTTGTCCTCCTGCAGTCCAGTTGTTGAAGAAACCATGTCACTTTTCCAGCACTGAAGTGCTCCTTAGACTCTGTGTGCACTGGAATCCCCCCTAGAATCCGCATTTCTGACAAACACACAGGTGATATGCAGGCTAGCCTGAGGATCAATGCTGAGCAATACGTCCCTCATGATTTTGCATTCCCATAAATTGACGAGATCTAGTTGAGGAGAAAATATTGTGACCCAACAATTTTACATCTAAAGAGAACTAGTAGGGAAAGGGTATCTTTTTACCCCAGTTACCCTGATAAGAAATAGAACAACAACGAAAGCCCTCCACCACCACCAGCACCACCACATCCATATAGCAAAGGAGGGCAAAAGCAAAGCAGCACTGCACCAGCTGTAGGATCACACTGACCAGCTAAGGGAATGAAAGTGAAGGAAGTATTAAAAAAAAAAAAAAGGTTAAAACTGAATGCAATCATGTATCCTTTGGGATGAGTACCACTGACCCTAAACGTACCTGCCCCTACAACGGGCACATGTGGTTCGAGGGAAGTTGGTCCTGACACCCAGGAAGTGCTCTCTGCTGTCATCCCAGGTGACCTGCATGAGCCCCACCAGCACCTGGGCAGGTGGGCTGTGTGTGAGCTGCATGTGGTCTCTCTGGCCACCCACCTCAGCCCCCATCATATTCACAAGCTTCTGGTCTCAGCCCTCCACCCCAAAGCCAGGGGAGTGTAGCCTGGAGGGTTCCTGGAGGGGGGGGTGGCCTGCACCCCTGTGCACGTGACAGGCCATGGGACCCACAGTGGACAAAGGAGCAGCAGCCCATGATGCTTTGCTTAGGGTTGGGAAAATGTCAGTGGGTTCTAGCAACAAATGCAGGAAGAGCCACAGAATCACCATGGGGGTGGCAGGGCCCCTCTGGGCCTCCCAAGTGGAGTGACCAGATGTAGCTGCCCACACTGGGTGGACCCATGCCAGCCCTAAGAACAGGGATTCCTGCTCGGGAAATCCCAACAGATGATGGTCAGTGTCTGCCATTATTGTGAAAGATTTTTATTTAGTATTATTTTCAAGTTTATTATTTCACTTAAAAGTTGGTTGTTGGAATTCTATTTCTAAATATATGCCCAAGGGCGCCTGGGTGACTCAGTTGGTTAAGCAGCTGCCTTCAGCTCAGGTCATGATCGCAAGGTCCTGGGATCGAGTCCCTCATCGGGCTCCCTGCTCAGTGGGGAGCCTGCTTCTCCCTCTCCCTCTGCCCGTCCCCCCCGCTTGTGTGCTAAGAAATAAAATCTTTTAAAAAAATAAATATATGTCCAAGAAAACTGAAAACATGTCCTCACAGAAACCTGTCTATGAATGTTCACAGCAGCATAATTCCCAAGAGTCAAAAGGTAGGATCGACCATTTTTGTCCACTTTGTCCATTTCGACAAAGTATGGTCCATCAACACAGGGGACTGTCACACAGTCCTAAAAAAGCATGGAGTTCTGACACATGCCGTAACATGGACGGACCTTGAAAACATTCTGCAGAATGAAGGAACCAGACACAAAGGCCACCACTATATGGCTCCACAATTATGAAATGTCCAGGAGAGACACACAATGGGGGGAAAGGGAAGGATGGGGAGTGACTACTAATGGGGACCGGGTTTCTCTGGATGATGAAAATATTCTAAAACGAGATGATAGCGATGGTTGTGTATTTGTGTAAATATCCTGACAACTACTGAACTGTACTTTTTTTTTTTACTTATTTATTTAAGAGAGAAAGAGCACACGAGCAGGGGGAGGGGCAGAGGGAGAGGGAGAGAATCCCAAGCAGACTCCGCACTAAGCATGGAGCCCGATGCAGGGCTTGATCTTATGACCCTGAGATCATGACCTGAGCCAAAATCAAGAGTCTGATGCTTAACGGACTGAGTCACCCAGGCGCCCCCTGAATTGTGCATTTTAAAAGAATTTTATAGGTGTGTGAATTATACCTCAATAAAGCTGTTACTTATTTTTTTGTAGTGTTGATTTTTAAAGATCTTAAATCTTAGTCCTGCATCTCAGCAGCATCTCTGGCCCCTGGGCACGCAGACACTTTGCAGTCATGGCCCCTTAGCCCTCAGGACAGTGGCGGGGCAGTAAGGCTCAGAGAGGTGAAGTGCCCAGAGCTGCACTGAGTGGGCAGGGCCCTGCCCGTCCCCCATCCAGGGACAGGGAGGTCAACCAGCTGAAGCAGTGGGTCACCACACTGATGATGTCCATCACCAAGGAGGAGGAGATGGCTGCCGAGCTGGAGCTCAAAGCCCGAGTCTTCCACTTCGGCGAGTACAAGGGCGATCAGGAGGTAGGCCCCCAATCAGCAGCCAGTGGGCAGCGGGCATGGAGGGAGTGAGGGTGATAAGAGCACATGTGGGAGCACCCAGTGCCCCCTACCACCTTCCAGGCTCTGTAGGCCTGACTGAAGGGCACTGGCTGGAGAAGGCCCTTGGTCCCCAAACTGGAGCCACCCTGTGTATTTATGCCCCTTGGCCGTTCAGCTGCCCAGCACACCCCCTCCTTTCCTTCCTTCTTTCATTCAGCAAATACATCTGTTTCTTCAACACAAAGTGTCTGAAGGTGACCCTGCCAGGAGGAAAAGGCATGTCCCCAAGACAGCCTGAAAGAGTGAGAGAATTCTGAGGGCACAGAGGGCCAGGAATGTTCCAGGGTGCAGTGCGCACCCTTCCTGACAGTGCCCTCGGGGCCATAGGTACGGTCCCAGCTTCCTAATTCATTCAAACTACTGTTGAGCACCTACTGTGTGCCAGGCCGGGCCAGGTACGTAGGACGCCACAACACGCAGGCTGGCGCACCCGCCGCCTGTCAGACAGACAGACTCACTGGGCGCTGGCTGTGCCCCACTCCTGACCTGAGCCTGTCTGTCTGCTGTTCCTCATGCAATCCTCATGCCCACTCCATGTGGTAGGGAGTGTTAGCTTTCTGAATGTCAGAACAGGCTCAGAGAGGGGAGTTCATCTGCCCTGGGCCACACAGAAAGCAGCTCACAGGACAGGGTCCTGTGGGGAGCTGAGGTCAGTGCAGGGGCAGAACAGGGCCCCGGAGGAGGTGACTGGGCCCCATGGACACACCAAGGCAGCTGGGGTAGAGCCCCAGTGGTGGCTGGAACCCTGGGTCTGGCTGACCACAGGAGGGCAAGGGCAGCTCTGGTCAAGAAAAATCCAAGTGTCCAAGCTGCTTTTCCCATGCTTGCTGAGTGTGCTGGGCAGGGTTCAGGGAGGTCAGCCACATCATGGCAAGGGCACTGGGTGCGGCCAGAGGCCCATGTGACCCCTCTGCCGGCCTGCCTCCCTCGCAGGACAAGCTGCTGGCAAGCCTGAACCGCAAGGTGCTGGATGTCTACCAGCACTGCATTGGCACCCAGCAGGAGTCCAACCTGGGCACCGTGCACATGCTGACCGTCATTGAGCACCACCTGCATGAGCTGCTTGAGAACCTGGAGCGCGTACCCCAGATCAAGATCGAGGAGGCTGAGAAGGCCAAGGAGAAGGAGCGCCGCATGAGGTGAGAGCCCAGGCCCCTGCCTGACCCCGCGTGGTCTAACGGGCGCCTCACGCCTTACGCAGTAGGGAGGGCCCTGAGGGCGAGGACGCCCTCCACAGCCCTGCTCCTGCTTGGGCTGGCCCAGGCTGGGCCCGAGGGCGAGGTCAGACACAGACCTGTCCTCAAAGAGCTCCCAAACCAAGGAAGACAGGACCCTGGTGCTCCATGCTGAGACAAAGCCAGGGGTCTTCCAGAGAGGGCACCAAACTTAGCCCCAGGGAGGGCAGCCCCTCTCCTGGAGGGAGGGATGATGTGGACTCAGGGACCCCAGGAGCCAAAGTGAGGGTGAGACAGCATGGCCTCACCCCAAGGACAAGGGACATCGATGGCCATTTTCCCTGCTGGATTGGAGAGGGAGAGACTGGCACTGCCAGAGCCCAGGGGAGGGACGATGCAAACTCGGGGAGAAGCTGAGGAAGCCCAGTTTCGTGGCAGAGGCAGGCAGGAACACTTGGCAGTGTCAGAATGCTGGACACAGGCAGCATGGACCCATCCTCCTAGGGGAGGCCCAGGGAGCTCCCCACAGACCCACTGGCTCCTCTGACCTGGGGGCTGCCCAGTTCACTCCATGCAGGGCCCTGAGACATCTGCAAAGAGCCATTTGCCTCTCCCACAAGCACAGGGGCTCTTCCTCTGTGTCGCCTGTCCTACACCCGGGTGGGAGCAGGTACTGGGCAAAGGTTTGATGACCAGAAGACACACAGGGCGACCAGTGACCAGGGATGGGGACCAAGGAACGTGGGCCTCCAAGGGGTAGGAGCTGATGGAGCTGAGCTGGGAACCCCCAAGAACAAGAGCAGAAGCCAACCTGGCCTGGCAGGGAAGGGTGGAGAGGAGAGGGGAGTTTTCTCCTACAGGGAGGGCCATGGCCTGATGGCTGCACATGAGGAACTGGGAAGGGGATCTGGGAGCTTCCCCAGGTGCCTCCAGTCTTTAATCCGTCTTGTGCTACCCCCGGCACCCAGACTCCGGGAAGAGAAGGTCTTGATGCAGAAGCGGCTGCAGGAGGAGCGTCTGCAGCGGGCCCAGGCCCGGGCCCAGGCTGAGATCAAGAAGAAGGTGGGCAGGGTGGCCCCGGGGAGTCACTGGCTGGGGAAGGGCCCCATGACCAGGCACAGTGGGGCTGGGAGGGGCTGGGGGCCTGCAGCCAAGCCCGGTTCACCCCCCTTGCAGGTGCTAATTGCTGAGGTGCTGGGGGAAAGAAAGATGGGGCCATCCGAGTAAGGCCAGGATAGAGCAGGGTCTCCTGTTCCTAGCCCGCCAGCCCTGCTACCCCTCAGGACCTGCTTCCTCTGCTGGTCCTCCCCTGGGTCTGCCTGCCCTCCTGCACACGCACTCCCAGTGGGTGACTGACCTGGCTAGCATCCTCCCAGCCTCCGCAGGGTGCAGCTCAGCCCCCGCAGGGTCCCACCATACCACTGACACCCCAGCCAGACCCCATCACTCCGGCTCATCACCCATCACTAGTGCTCCCCCTGACCGCCCCCCCAGGGAACAGGCTAGAACAGTCACTTCCTTCTGGCCTTGGCAGCAGGTGTGCTCCCTAAAGCAGGCCCGAGCCTGGATTCAGCCCCTGGCAGACAGATTAGGCTGCGGGGCTGCTCTCTGAATAGAGCAGCGCTCTCCACGCTGTCCCACGGGGACGGCACACACCGTAGGGTCTCCCCTTAAATCCCTGGAGCGAAGGAAGTGGGCTCCCTGTTTAGCCGGGTACTTCCCCGTGTTTCCAGCTGCGCGCCACAACACACATCCATCTAGGGGCCCACAGCCCAGGGAACAGGCTCTGGAAATGCTGGGGAGACTCCCTCCCGAGTCATTTCAGGGCAGCTCCAGCCCTGAGCCCGCGGGCTGACAGGGGAGGCCGGGACGTCCCCTGGGCCCCACAGCCCCAGCTCACCAGCTTCCAGGCACAGCTTACAGAGTCCGCTTGCTCTGCAGAGGGGCAGGAGACTGGTGAGTCGCTCCCGGCCCCCAGCTCTCAAAGCAAAGGAGGAGCCTGAGCACGTGGTGGTAGACAAGGACAAGGAGGAGGAGCTGCTGTTCTTCACCTAGGCTTCCGGCGCCGAGGACACAGCAGGAAGCAGGGGCCGAGTGAGCTGGCCCGTGGCGGCTGTCACCATGTCCCCATGCCCCTCCCGGCCTCCCACTGTACATTTCCGTACTCGCGTGAAATAAACTCCCCCTCATTGGTGGCCCGATGGCCCGTTTAAGGAAGCAGGCTGGTTCCAACATCCACACCCTGCCCTCTAATCCCTGAACCCCAAGCCCATGCTCGAGGAAGGAGCCCATCCTGGCCCTCAGGTAAGGTGGCTGCTTTGAGACACGAAGGCCAATTCCACAAGAAAAGGAGGCAGCAAGTTATAGGCGGATGAGAGAGTTCTCACTACTGACTGAACACAAAACATGACGCCCACACTACACACACTTCCGTGAAGTAAAGCCAAGCGACACCGTCATCACATGACTATACAAAAACTTTTATTCATTTGTACTACAAGTTGGGCCCACGCCACCAGGGAACCCAGTGCCCAGAAAACTGACAGCCAGTACCAATCACATCATGGTGGTGGACATTCCCAGGGGACGTTCCGAGGAAAGTTCCAACGACCCAACCCAGAGAGATCATTCCCTGGCCCGGCCCCTCCTCCCATCAGGACAGTGCAGTGTGGCCACCAGGCCACCCGGCCCCCACGGTCACCCTGGCAGGCAGACTGGCTCCTGGTGTAGGGAGGCTGGGAGACCTGGAGGCGGAGGGGCCAGGTGGACACAAAACTTTAGTCTGTGATGCAGCACAGAGTTCTGTGGGTAAAAACTGTTTATAAATGGAGACCGAGTTCCTCTGGGTAGAGAAGCACCCTGGACAGACAGCACCTCAGAGCAGGAAAGAGAGAGGACTCACCACCGAATGCTGGGGTCATTTCCAAAAGCCCAAGGCCAAAAACTCAAGAAATGAAGAAACATAGAACAGGCAGAGTTTGGACAATTCCAAGTCCAAGAACAAAAACAGCATCTGAATCAACATAAGCCTCAAAGGCACAAGGCGAACAACAGCATTTCTAAGTGACCGTGTGGCCCGTCTCGCCAACAAACAAACACGTGCGAGGTTATCCGCTCGCCTCCTGTGCAGGACCGACCGTGCTCTGCGAAAATACACGGTGACACAGTACCTGCACGTCTGCGGCCACGACGAGCATGTACAAGCCACTCTCACTGTCCTACACGTAGCGCAGAGTACTCAGGCCCTGACTGTAGAACCTGGACAAATTATTATTAAACATGAACGCCCAAATGCAGAAGTTAGAAAAATGTAAAGTTTTACCTCTAGCATCCCCAAATTAGGAGCTTCAAATTTGGCCTCTCTGTGGAGGGCTCGCTACCAGGGCCCCAGTGTCCCCCTCTGCACTCCCATCTCCTTCCCCTCATACGAGCTGCCTGCCTGCTCTGCCAAAACAGGGATTCGAATTTGGCTTCACTAAGACAATAGGATCACTTCTGCCCTATGGGGTGACAGAATCAGCCCAACCACAACCACCACCCAAGGGGCTGGGAAACAGCTCTCAGAAAGGGGAAACAGTTTCTAGATCTCTCTCAGGCCAAACGCTAAAACACGGAAGGTGAAAGATCCCATTTGCTTTTACTACAGTTGAAGTCCTATTTGACTAAAGAATCCATACTCTACCCTACTTCCTGCCTAAGTCTGTTTTTCTAATACAGCAGGGGCTCCATGGCTTAGATCAAACGGGACAAGGGATGTCTGCGCACCGCCAAGTCCGGAAAAGGCCTGTGCCTTTGCCCTGAGGGCAGTCCTTGCCTCACGTTCATGTAAGGCGATTTCAACGAATGCTGCCCCAAACTGGTTCCTGATAAAGTGTAAGAAAAACATTTTTGAGAAACATGCCCAAAAGTCTCCGAGGAACTCAGCTAGCCTCCTGAGCTTAAACCCAGTGGGGTCCCCCCCAGGCCTATAAGACCACGAAACAGAGTCCGGGGGCCACAGACTGTCCCCGGGGCAGAGGGTCGCTGTCACTGCAGGTCCCGAAGGTTGATGGTGCTCCCTGCACACTGCACCTCCTCCGGCCCGGGAGCCCCTCCAGCTGTAGGAAGCACCTCCTGAAAAACCAAGCAGAGTCGTGAGCAGCAGAGCTGGGGGCTCGGGCGGCGCAGGACCACCTCCCAGAAGGCAGCACCGCGGCCGCACACACCAGCATCAAAACCCGCAGGGCACCTCTCACTTTCCTAAAGCGAACTTGTTTTCCCCTTATTTTCACATATGTTCCTTGAAGAAAGAAACTTTCCTATAAACAAAAAGAAGGCAAAGTGAACTTAATGATACTGTGTTGCAGGTCTCCTCAGAAATGTGACTGTCCTTGTTTAATTCATAACCCTTTCCCCGTTCGGTATGAGGAAGCGCCTCTCCCAGTTCCTGACCGCCTGTGGGCAGCATCAGCGGCTACGCCCCCGCCCACCTAAGCCACCTCCTTCTGCTAGAAGAACACCCCCACAGCATTAGATTCAAGGCGATGGCGAACACTTTTTAGCCAGTTATTTGTACACTACCAGATTTCTTTAAGAACGATCTCATGAGTGGGAATACCAGGCAGAATGGAGTCGACATCCGTGAGGTTTTCTGAATGCACGTTCCCAAACTGCATTTGAAGGAGCCCCTGCTCCAGCCATCTGTGAGCCCCACCCACCCCTCTGTCTACCAGCACTTTACTTGATATTTATTTTTGACGTTTTAAGGAAAACGTTGAACAGCCTAATTTGAATACAAGAAAACTAAAATTACTATGTGTAGGGATTTAAAAAAAATATATTCAAGGCTGAACTGTTAGAAATTTGATAAGCTATCTACTTTATTATTTTATAGCCAAATCTAAATTACCCATTGCCACCTATATTTGGTTTATCTGCTTACTTAAGCAAACTAAATTTCCTGGGTCTGTTTTCCCATAGGTTAAAAACTTGGCTGGCCTAGGGGCGCCGACTCTTGGTTTTGACTCAGGTCTGATCTCAGGGTTGTGAGACTGAGCCCCGTGTCGAGCTCTGCGATCAGTGCAGAGTCTTCTTGGGTTTCTCTGCCTCTCCCTCTCCCTCTGCCCCTGCCTCCTGCCCCAAATAAATAAAGCTTTAAAAACAAAAACTGGCGGGCGCCTGGGTGGCTCAGTCGTTAAGCGTCTGCCTTCGGCTCAGGTCATGATCCCAGGGTCCTGGGATCGAGCCCCGCGTCGGGCTCCCTGCTCAGCGGGAGGCCTGCTTCTCCCTCTCCCACTCCCCCTGCTTGTGTTCCTGTTCTTGCTGTCTCTCTCTGTCATATAAATAAATAAAATCTTAAAAAAAAAAAAAAAAAACTGGCCAGCCTATTACCCACAGGAGAAAGTGACTAGAATTTTTTTATATATATTTCAAAGAGCATTTTATTTTATTTTTTAAAGATTTTGCTTGTCAGACAGCACAAGCAGGGGGAAGTGGCAGAGGGAGAGGAAGAAGCAGGCTCCCCACTGAGCAGGGAGCCTGATGTGGGACTCAAGCCCAGGACCCTGAGATCACGACCTGAGCTGAAGGCAGACACTTAACTGACTGAACCACCCAGGTGTCCCGTGGCTAGAATTTCTAAATATAAAATATTTGAAGAGTGTATTAAATTTCACCTGATTCATAAGTAGGAGCTACAATGGGGAGCAAATCTGAGCTTTATTCTTGGTCTTTTATTTCTGGGTCATTTACCCAAAACCTTTTCTAGAAAGCAGCAAAACATCCTGGCAACCAACCCAATGAGTCTCCACTTGAGCCCCACCTCAGTGACAAGCCTCAGAAAGCCAAAAGCATCATGACAGTCCTACTAACAAACCCAAAGAGCTGTAAGGCGTCCAGACCTGGAGGACATAGACAGGCAAATCAACAGCGAACACGGGGTGAAGGGCAGAAGGCTGCGGGCTGAGAACCAATGGCGAGGCTGCTTCACCTGAGGGGTCGTCCTGGGGAGGCAATGGCATGTTTCATTTACCAAGCACAGCACATTTCTCACCTTGGCCTGAGGAGTGCTCGTTACTCTGAAACACACCCTCTGGATTCCAGGCGGGGAGCCAGGTGAGGCGTGAGGACCCAGCAGTCACTGGAATCAGGGGCTGGGGGCTGTTTACCCCTCCTCCTGGTCCTCAGTCTCTCACTTTGTTCCCAGCTTGAGGCCCACACCACCTGCCATCTGGCTGCTCCCCACTCCCAGGCCCTTTCCCTCGAACTCCCCCACACGCAATACCTCCCCTCAGCCTAGGCCCCGATTTCCCTCCTGTAGGCTGTTCCTGAACTCTGGCGGAGGTTCCTGGTGCCCTCGTTGAGGGCCCTCTGGCTCTCCAGTGGCCACCTCACGGTGCACGAGAAGGCCCACCTCCGCCCCAACCCCTGGTCAAGCTGGAAGGGACAAAAGATCACAGGTCTCTGGAGAGGGGGAAGCTCCTAGGCCCCTGATAATCATGCAAGTAAGAAAAGGGACACCATCGAACACTTCAGCTTTCATCTGCACACCCAGCCCGCGGCGGTCACAGCCGCCACTAGCCTCCCGGTGCCACCGTAGGCATCAGCATCACCCAGCCCTTCCCCAGTGTCAAGAAGCTTCTGTGCTGAGCACTATCATTCCCACTTCAGAGACAATAAAACTGAGGCCCAAAGTACTTAAGTAACTTGCCCAAGACAATACTAACTGGTCAGGGAAAGGTGGAAAATTAAAAGTGAGTTTTCTCCACCTCAAAGTTCACGCCTTCAATTAGGTGTCTCTTAAATAGCAGGTTCTCCCCTTCCGATGAGCACCTTTTCTGCATGGGTACCAGCTTCCTTGACGTGCCCGTGTTAGAACCTCCAGTCCTGCCTTCCCCACGTCTCGCCTGCCGGCTGTGACCACGTTCAGAAGGGCTCTGCTGCCCCTACCCCCACCCTCCACAAGCCCCCATCTTGGGAGAGCCCTGACCTCTTTACTGCTCCAACCCCCTGGCCCCACACCTGGAAAGAAGAGACCTGCTTTCCTGCTCACCTCTGCAGACCAGTCTCCCTAGGCCCCACCCCCACCAAATGCTCACATTAGCTTCTTGTTTTCTGTAAGAGCAAGGCTGCTCACTGGCCCCATCTTCCTGGCCCTCCCCAAGCCCTTCTACCCAGGCCCTCCCCACCCCTTTCAGACTTCACAGCCAGCTCGGTCCTGTCTCCTCGATGAGGCTCTCCCAGCACTGCAGACCCCAAGGATCTGGCCACCCTCCTCTTCGGAGTCAGCTCGGCACTCAGAAGTCCTCGGATATCTCTGTGCCTTCCCACGTACATGGTACACTATGGCCCCAGGAGATCCTCAGGGAAGAGGTGACATGTGATCAGGCCAGGTCAGAGCTACATATCCTCAGTTTCTACACTTCTTCTCTCCCCAAACAGTCCTAATTTATTGTCCCTCTTCCGGTCCCTCAAAAATGAGACTGCAAACAAAAGCGCACACAAAGCTGTGGTCAATGTGTCTGGTGAGCGAGCTCAGGGAGTGGCTGCCAGCTGCACGCATCTGCTGAGCCCCAGGGAACAGTCTAGGAGGTGGCTGGCCTGCCTGCGAGGGGCTCATCTTGTAGAGAAGGGCGGGGGGAGCCAGCATCTTTAACACGTAAAGGCTATATCCTCGGCTGCACTGCGAGCGCTCCCCAGACACAGGACTGCCAAGCCGTGTGAGCAAACCCCTTCACCCCTGCCCTGAAACGAGCCCTGGGGTCTGGGGAGGGGCGGGGCCGTGAGAGGCATCCCGTGGCTCACGTGGGCAGCCTGAACAGCCTGAGGCCGGAGCGGGGCCCGGCACCTCCACTTCACGGGGCACCAGACACAGGGGGCATGGGGACACGGAAGTGTCAATCCTAGTAAAGACGAAAGCTCGGACAAATAGAGCAGGAGAGGGTGGGAGGAAGGAAGGAGCTGGGGTGACAGAGACATCATCCCGGACTTGGGATGGTCAGAAGCAGGTTGGGGGGCAGTTCCCAAGAGGAAGAGTACTGGAGGGGTGAAGGCTCAGGGAGACGCGGCCCGAAGCCTAGCCCCCAGCTCCCGCCCCATGACCAGCGTCCTTTGGGCTTGCTGGCTCTTACCTGCAGTAGCTGGACCTGAACGCACTGCACGCCGGCCGCTGGAGCTGGTCCTGGCAGACCTCCGCTAGGCACCACAAGGTTCCCACACAACCAGCCAGTCTGGCTTGTGTGGAAGTGAGTAGGACTGACCTTGCCATCTTTCATTGTCCTCTGAGCGGACCCCGAGGCTCCTGCGATGAAACAAACCAACACATGCCGTGTACCGTGCCTCACCGAGGCCACACTCGGGACACAGCCTCCCCACCGTCACTGTGTACAGCCCTGCAGACTTCAAACTAGTCAACAGGGAGAGTCACGGGCTTAAGAGGTGGAAAAAAACAAGATTTTGATTAGAAAGCGTAGCAAACTTACCTACGTGTCTTCTGGACATTCAGCGATCAGACCCCGGGTGCCCATTTCACGGGGGCAGAGGCTCCTCCTTACCCTGCAACCCCAAGAATGGGAGGCACACAGGAGATCCCCAACACCATGGAGCACAACTACCAGGCAGAGCTGCACAATCGCAGAAAAGGAACAAGGGAAGGAAACCGGCCAACACATCCCACCCTTGGGCCCCTCGGCGTGTGCTTAAATAAGCTGCCAAATCCTTCAGGCTGTTTTCTGTCCAGCTTCCTCTTCAAAAGTCATCGCTTCGTTGATTTCATAAAAATATGCTTTCTAAAATAACGAAGTACAAAGAAGAAACAAACAATCTGGACACCCAGAAAGGGTTTCTCTGACAGTCACGTGGTTTGTGAGCAGCACGAAATCCCAAAGACCAGTGGCCTGGATTCAAATCCTGGCTCCACCCCTGACTCTGCTACCTGACCTTGGACAAGCAATCTAAGTTCTGGCCTCAGTGTTCCCTCCCCGTGAAATGGGAACAATACTCCCTACCTCAAAGTTTTGGAAGGATTAAGTAGATATGTGACGCAAGTTTAGAACAGTGCCTGGGTCCTAGTAAGTGCCAGGGAATTTCAGGTGCTGTGACAGCTGTGTCCAGAAAGCCCGGGAGATGCATACGTGAATGACTTCATAAAGACAATTTTACAGTGAACATTATACAAGTTGACGAGAATAAAAGCATTTGATTTTTGTTGAATAAAAGCATTTGATTTTTGTTGAATAAAATGAAAAGGAACAAGTGAAACTGAAGGATGTGCTGAACTTCTAGAAAATACGTCTTCGTGAAAGTATCTAATGACCTAACGTTAAAGGGAAAAGAGAGGCTGCATTCTTTGTGTAGGTTTTTGTACTCGAAGTTTCCATTTTAAGCAGGAATGGTTGGTTCTGACACACAGGACGAGCCACCTCTGTTACAGCAAGTTCACCTTCGGTCTTGATGCCAACACCGGCCTAGAGGTCCCCGCTCCCGAGCTGTGCGCTGTGTTCCGTGTGCGCCCCGCGCCGCTGCCCGCTTGCTCCTGCCCATCGCCCTCGCGGCGTCTCCCCTTAATAGCAGGGCTCACAAAGTGAGGGCTTAAGAGCACTCACACGCAGGGCTGTCCGCGGCCGCAGCACGCACCGGAGAGCCTGGCTGCCATGAAACCCTGGGGTCACGGCTCCTTAACCCTCGGCACTTGACAGACTCCGCTCTGGGGGGCGCTGTAAGCCGTGGTGCCAGGCCACAGCCTGCTACTTCCTTCCTGGGCGCCTGAGGGGTTCTTCACCTCGGCGGCAAGTCTCGGTTTTCCAGGGAGCACATTCGGTGTCCCCTTCACTGCAGGGAAACGTAGTTCCATTATAGCTTTGAGTACGTCTGCCAGCTTCTCTGCCTCAGGGACCCCAGTCCCCTCCTGAGATGGATTAGCTCTGGCTGTCGTCCATGCTTCTCCCCAGCGCTCTGCAGCTTCAGGACAGCAGACCAGGGCTAGGACTAGGGTGAGCAAGCAAGGTGAGGGGCTAGGGTCCGGGATCCGCTCACTCTTCTTTAACAGTAAGAAACTCCACGTCACTTGCTATTCTCCCTGAACATGCACGCTACTCCGCTCAACTCTGGCTCTTTACCTGAATGTGTTGTTATGCTTTGAAGTCTTTTATTACCCTACATATTTCCCTGTGATAAAAACATGTACATAAATTAAAATTCTAGTTTTAAAAAATATCTTTTCTAGGGGTTGAAATCTTCATGTGAAAAATCAAGTTACTGTTGCAATTATTAGTAATGCAAACCCAACCAGAATAACAAAACCTATTAGAAACTTTGATAATAATGAAATATCAAAAGCAACACTGTACGGAGAATGCATGGAGAACAGTGGGACTGCCTGTTTTCCAGGAGGCTCGTGGGGCTGTGGGTCAGTACTACTCATTGCTAGACTCAGACATGGAGCTCATACCTTTTTGCCAATTAAAAAAATAATTTATTTTTTTTTTTGAGGATTTTTTTTTTAAGATTTTATTCATTCATTTGTCAGAGAGAGCACAAGCAAATGCTCGTGTGCTTTAAATGTCATTTCATCACAACTACAGCACTTTGAGCTGCAGCTTAGGGGGAACCGTGCCACAGAGCCCACACAGCATGGGCAGTCTGTATGTTAGGACGGCGCTTCTTCCCCACGAAAGGTCCAATTTCATTTTTCAGTTCAAATGAACATACTGAAACATGGTTCAAGGTATATTATGGAAACCACTATGAGATCAACTAAGGAAAGCATCAAGTAATGTATCTTTTTAAGCTACTTTTATAAAAGCAGGATTTAAATATGTATATCTAATGCTTATTATCTAGCTTTGTAAGATAAAAATGATCATTCTGAGCCATTTCTCATTTATTTCATAATGATTCAATGAAAGCCGTGTAGATCATACTCTCTGTTACCCATGAAGCAAGAATGGTCAAAGCCTTGTGCCCCTTCACTACATGTGTGCTAGCACGTATGCTATAAACGACGGGGAAATTAAGTACAAATCATGTGATCAAAATCAGAAATAGAACCCACTTAATTTTGCCAGAGAGCAGCATTATAGGTTTCCATAAAAAATAGTATACACTGCTGAAAAAGTAGTCAGTAACCAGAATATAATTTATTTTTGTTAAAAGGATGTACGAGGCAGGAAGTAAGACGGACTTGGTAGAAGTTAGAATACTTGGTAACACATCATAAGCTAAACTGGTTCTAATTACTGTATGAGCACACACACTGCATCACATTCTCTTTTCAACCTGTCCCTTCATCCGGCACCTGACAATCTGGCAGTCCTGCAGATGCCACAGTTACACTGAGAAGAATCACTACCCCATAACCGCAAGTGCTCTAGCACCTTCTCCGGTTAACAACTCTTCCTGGGGTGAAATGTTCATCGCTAAAAGGAACTGCTCAGGCTTACATACATGAATACTGCTGCTCTCGTGGGACTCTCCTTAAAAGCAGTTCCTGCTGGGGCGCCTGGGTGGCTCAGTCGTTGAGCGCCTGCCTTCGGCTCAGGTCATGATCCCGGGGTCCTGGGATTGAGCCCCGCATTGGGCTCCCTGCTGGGCGGGAAGCCTGCTTCTCCCTCTCCCACTCCCCCTGCTTGTGTTCCCTCTCTGTCTTGTGTCTCTATCAAATAAATAAATAAAATCTTTAAAAATAAATAAATAAAAGCAGTTCCTGCTAGGGCAAGAGCAGAAGGGTGGGAAAGGTGAGGGCTGACACCCCCAGACCCCCCTATACTGTATCTCATTTCAGAACATCTCAACACGCCCTCCTAGGAAAACTGGTACAGGAGGAAGGCCAAGCTGGCCGCAGAGTCCCAAGGTGGTCTTGATGCCTGTATGAATGAATCCATACAAGGCGCCTCCCTGAAGCCAGCACTCTGAAGTGTCCTGGGTCTGGGGCTCTGGAAGACTACTTTTATACACGCCCCAGGGTGCTGCGCCACAGGGAGCTTGGTGGTGGGGAAGGACTCACTGTCGTGAAGGGAAGGCGGACAGGAGAGCCTGCAGAAGTCCCGGACCCAAATGCACGGTCTCCAAGATTACAAATGGAAGATGACAATGGGAAGGCGGATTCCTTTCATGGAAGACCATGCTCGCCTCCCCTTCAAAGTCTTCTCGTCCGCCCAAGGTCCTGGAGGCCAGGCTGAACACTGTGCATCAGTACCCTGAGAAAGCTCCGAGGGAAGAAGGCAGGGCCAGGAGAGGGGAACCTGAGCTGATGCACTGAGCGCCCTGCCCCTGGCCTCCAGACTCCCCGCTCAGGGGAAAAAACACCTTGACCTGCCGGTGCCCTCGGGGCAGGCTGCTGGGTCACATGATCCCAGACAGTACACTGGGCCTTCTGCTAGTGTGCCATCACCGGTACAATGGCTGAAAATCACACCCTTCCTGAGTCAGCTATCAAGCCCACTAAGCCACGGATGCTGGAAGGCTTAAAGCCAACACACGGTCTCTACACACGACCCCATGATGGCCACGCAGCTGTCCTCACTAGTAAAAGATGCCATGGCACTACATGTATGTGACCAACTTAACTCATAGACCAATGTCAAGAAACATAAAAAATTTCTTTCTCACAGTGGAGATCCAGAAAACCTTAAGAGGGCAAGTCATCTTCACAGTGACTTAATTTTGCTTCAGTAATCTCAACATTTACCTGAAACACTGGATTGTTCCTAGATAACCTGAAAGAGCAGGGAGAGGAAAGAAGCGTAAAGCCAGCCAGCAAGTCAGCTTCCGTGAAGGAGACCTAAAAGACATTTGGGCATGGAATAGCCAAGTGAGCTGGAGTACGCCACTGCGCACCCTGAGTCCCCACCGATTCATCTGTGAACCGTGCTGCAGCGTGACCTCACCTCACAGCGTACCCCCACAGGTGGGGCCAGCAGCACACAGCCTGGCTCAGGCAAAGAGCTCTGCCCGCACACCATCTGAAGATGCCCCTATGCTGACAGCCACAGAACCCAGTGGCAACCCAAGCACGTGGCATCCCCGCCCCGGGAGGGCTCTGCGCTGAATACGGTCAGCTCTCAATCCTGCATACCACTGACTCCAATGTGTCACTTCCCCCCCAGCAGGTGCATCGGGGGTCGGGGGACCTGATAACTTTGGGCTCATGCAGGCTTTCTCTGCTGGGGATCCTCACTGAACCACAGAACACAGTGAACTATCCGAGTTACTATTCCCCAACTCTCCTCAGGATGGGAGGCTGGACCCGTTACATATCCTGGATGGTGGAGGACACTGGGGCTTAATGCTTTTATAGTTCCTGATGTGTTCAGTCCTACACGGCTATTAAAGGATAAACCACAATCATATTTATTCACAAGAAAAAATATTCATGTTTAATAGCAAAAAGCAGATAAAAATATATGTGTTATCATTTCTTCAAAATAAGTAACAGGTGTAGTTTATACACATGGGAAAATGTTTAACATCAAAACGCTGGAAGTGGTTTTCCCTGGGTGGTGGACCTACAGGGGAGAAAGCATGTAAGAAATCCACCATTAGTCTTCCTGAAGAGTAAACCAACATTACCGGAACCACTGTTGGACCGTGCATCCTTCGCTTACCGGCCTGCATGCCTCTGCTCCAGCCGGCCCCACCTGTCTAGCTGGCCTGCTCTCCACCAGAGCACTGGCCGACTTTCATCACCGACACTCCTCAGCAGTGTCTGGGTCACCAGCACAGTGGTCTCCCTGCCCCCTTATCTCTCCCTCCCCCTTATCAAAGTCTGCATGTAGATTTTAACTAAGTTATTCTTCCAGATGAACTTAAAACGGACAGGTGGTTTTTTTCTTTTAAAAAGTTCCTTTGGGATTTTAAAGGAATTGAATAAAAGATGTAAATTAACAGAATTGAGTGTTGCATCCAGGTACATAGTAAGCTGTAAACAGGGCCTTATCTAGGCCCTGCATGTGTGTCACTGGTGATCCTGAGATACTTTACTACTTTTATTGCCATCATGAGTGAGATCTATTTTCCATTATTGTTTTTCTGATTATTCTAAGTAGAAAAGCTACCCCTGTGATATATGCAAATATTTTTTGTACAATTAGCTACTTAGTTATCCTTATTTATAATTATTTGAGTCTATTCCCTTGGGTTTTCTAAGCCCAGTAATCATCATTGATAGGTAATCACATCGTTCTATTTGATTATGTTTTTCTCTAAAGCTTCCATAAAAATGTCCAATACTATTGCAGTGTCGGCTTGGTTGCCTCTTCCGATTATAATGGGAACACATCTCCTCACTGAAAATAATGCTAACTGCTATTCTAATTTGCTCTCTGTATTAGGGAAATCTTTTTAGTTCCTAGTTAAGGTTTTTATTTTTAAAAATCAGCAAAGATGTTTTCTCAACTGCCTTGCTTCACATCAGTGAAGATAACAGGGTTCTCCTCTGGCTTCCTGATGTGGCAAATTATATTGACAGATGCTTAACCCTGACCCACCTGGAACCCTGGACAAGCCCCAATCATCTGAAATCCAGGTGCCAGTATTTTACTCGGGAGTTCCACGTCTGCCTCACACGCTGAAGATGAGACACGCTGTTCTTGTGGGTTGTATAGCTGATGGCTCTGGAGCCTGTCAGCCTGGGATTCTACCCCTAGTGCAGTCACCAATCAGCTGTGCAGCTCCCATCAACTTCATCTCTCTGTGCCTCAGGTTCCTCATCCAGAAAACAGGGCATTGAGCACCTGCATTCCATAGGGTCGCTGTGAGAACTACCTCAGAATCATGCTGGGTATACAACCAGCTTGAATTAATGCTACACCTCTGTCAGGTGGAGCACTGGGGTATGTTAACTGAATGGCTGGTGCTTGAAATGTGTCCAGTGATTAGCAATCTATTCATGCTTTATCGTTCTTTCAACAAATATCGACTGAATCTTTACTCCATTGGGTACAGGGCTATAATGGTGATCCTTACCATGAAGCTTACAACTGGCCACCTGTGTCCTAAGTACAGATGTTTCCCAGGGACATACAGAGGAGCCTACAATCAACACGCAATGATGAAGCACTATAGCATCCTAGAAACAGAGGGGGCCAGTGGTGGCAACAGGCCTTGGAAAAGGTTTGGGATAACACTGCAGCCATAATGTAGTCACGGCCCCTGGAGAAACCGTTTACAATTAGGGGATCTGTCAGGGTCCCATCAGGGCGCCAGGAACACTCTAGGTATTGCATCCAGAGGGATTCCACGCTGACAGTGGGGCACGTCAGTGATGGTGCACTAAGGAGCAAACACCCTAGTCAGCATGGCAGGTAGGCAACCTCCCCCCCACCAAGAATCCAGAAAAAGGTCAGTGCACGTAAACCAGAACTATGTCAGGGGCTGCCCAGAAAGAACTGGGACCACGGGGGAAACACAGCCATTGTCATAAAACTCCTACCAAAGTGGGACGAAAGCAAGGTCCTGGCTCCTCCTTCCTCCCTCCACCTAATCTCCTGCCCAATGCTCCCACTGGCCAATCCTGGCTGGGAGCCTAGGAAAGACAGTTCCTGTGAAGGTCAAACCAGCAAGCTGGGAAGGGTGACTCAGACTTCACAGAAAAAGGCTGTACAGGAGGTCCCAGGGTGACAGGCTATGGGACAGAGTACATCCCCGGGCACCATCCAAAGCTCAGGACCACCAGGGCACACACGTCTGGCCAAGGACGTCAGGCCTGCGCTCCTGGGGTGTGGTTCCCACCTCTGTCACCTGAACTCTAAGAGGCCAGGGGCCTGAAACCACATAGACACAAAGCCCTGCCATTGTTTTCCTAACTCTGCTCCAACAAAAGGCTAACTGAAGGTAGTGATGAGCAAAACCTACATGGAATTAAACGAAGCACTGGGTCCTCCAATCAGCACTGGGCTGTTTTACAAGAACCTTGCGTGTTATCCACACCACCCCCTAGAAAGGCAAGTCCTGTATTGCCCCCCGTAACAGAGGGGGTGCTGCAGCAGAGAGTTTAGGCGCTTGCCCAAAGCCACCACAACCATAGGAGCAGACCTCAACCGCATTCTGGACTCCTGAGTTGGTGCTCGATCCCCAGACACTGCCGCTTGGCACTGTCACCACGAATGGCCTCACATGGCAGCACAGCTCGCGAATGTGTGGCCAAGCCAATCACATCTTTCATGAACAAAGGCCTCCTCCTCACCAGGGCTAGGGACCTGCCAGGGAGGGCTCTCAGCAGACTGCCAGAGTCAGACTTTCACGCTCACTTGATAGGGAGGTGGGAGGACCTGCAGGGGAACAGGCGCCTACCAAGGAGACATAAAGGAAGCGAGACATGCACTCCAGCAGGGAACAGCGCCGGGCAGGCATAAAGCTAACAGAAACCAAAGTAAGTGACAGCGGCTTGTCAGGAAAGGGCGGGCCTAGAGGACCAGGACGGAGAAAATCCTTATCACCTGCTCACTGTCCCGGGGCAGGACACCTCAACTCAGAGCGGATTCAGGGATAGGAGGTCACATTTCTCCACCAGCACAACTACCAGGAAGTTGGCCGCCACCAAGCCCCTGTACCCTGCTTTGGGAGATCTCTGGCTATGCCAGTCCTCAAAAGCACAGCTCCAGTCCGGGGACCACAAGGAAACTCGGCCCCATGGGAGCAATGACCAGAGATGGCTGTGGCCTTGGCCACGAGTGTACTGCCAGGAGGCTCACGGCATGAACAGCTGCTCCAGGCAAACGTGCTGTGTGTACCCTAGCCAGCAGGGGCTAAGCCTGGGCAGGTGAAGGTCAGCAGCGCAGAGGGAGCTACCATGGGCAGCTAGAGCAAAATCACCTAGTACCTAAAGCAAAGACAAACGGAGGGCCTCCCCACAGGCTGCAATCCATTTGGCTCGCCATCACAGGCCCCACCTGCCATCCAGGGTGCCTAAACGGAGTCCATGGGCGGTGAAAAAGCCCCACATTTTCCCACGCCCAGGGAGGGTCTTCTCCAGTTGCAGCCCAAACTCCCCATCCACCCCACTGGGGAGCCTCATGACACTCAAGGTCATACTCCACTCTTTCAGGAGTGCCTATGTCAATGTTCCCAGAATTCTCTTCTAGGAAAACAGTTACAACTGCTGCCGCTGCCCAGTTAACAGACAGCCTGCACAGGGGCCTCCCTCCTGTCTCCCTCAGTGTGGCCCTTCTGCTCTCAGCATGGTAGCAACAGGAAGAAATGGGAGGAGCCTGGTGAGAGATGTCCAAAGATTTTTGCTTTAATATGAGAAAAAAAATTAAAAAAAAAAAATATATATATATACACATTTTATAAAAAATAGATCACTGCCTTAATTTCATGGCTCAATCCAACCCAGTTAGTCAAACATTCCAGTGGCACAGACCGGCCAGTGGCACCAAGCAGGTGTATCGCCTTCCCCTCCATCTGCATGCCCATCTTCCAGTGCTGGACAAGCTGGCGATGCTAAAGGAGCCACAGAGGGGCCCACCCCATGCTGCCTGGCCCCTGCCTGTGCCCCGCTGCTCTCTTCACCCCTTTCTAGGAAGGGAAACCAATTCCAGACTATTCCTGTCTCAGTTTACAGGTGAAGCAGCTGGAGAGCCCACCCAAGTGCCCCAGGTACAATCCAAAAACCTCCATTGGTACACTCCATCCTGGGGTGGGGGTGGGGCAGAGGGGACAGCTGTTCCGGTCCCCACTACTTAAATGGGGGGTTAATATGTATTTTATAATTACGTAGTTCATGGATTTTCAAACACAGAAAATAAAAATGATGAAAAATAATTTAAAAACTCAATCTTAACACTCAGAAAAAAACCACTAACCCTGCAAGGGTATGTGTTCTACCATTTTTGTTTCTGGGCAAATACACATTTGTGTCTACCAATACCACACCCAGCGTTTCTCACTAATGCGGGACTTACCAAAACTATGCACCAAGTGTGCAGCTTTCCTGGTAGACATGAGCGATAACTATCTAGGAATACACAGTTCGGCACTGAGCAGCAGCGCATGCCTGTTTACGCAGATCCCCGGGTATTTCCGTGAGATGTTACAACACAGTCCTTTCACGACTGAACGTTATGCGTATCTTCTGGCTCTTGCAAATGCTATTAAGTGACCATCCAGAAATGTCACACTGCATCCCCACGTTCCATGCGCACCCATGTGGGCTCTGGGTTTCCTTGCCTCTGAGCACCAAACACACCCCTCTGCTTCACTTGTCGGCGGCCTTCTGCACAGCGCCTGTGCATGTCCCGTCCCCATTTTTCTACGGAGGCATTCATCTTTCCTCTCATTTCATGCTGTGTATGCTCATTTAAAACCTTTCAGTGTCCACTGATCTCCAAGGCCTGTGCCTCTGCTCCGCTCCCGGCATCAGTACCCTCTGAGCAGTGAGTGCACTGGGGGGGAAGGTTTCTGGCGGCCCAGCTGTAGAGCAGGCTGGAGGTAAATCTCTACCTTAGGGAGCTGTTGTGAAGATGAAACACGAGCTAAACCATGGAAAGCACTAATGGGGACAAAA